CGTGTACGATCACGTCAAAGATTGCAGCTTGGTACTGTGCCAACTCGAAAACTTGCAGGAAAACAGTGGCTGAAATTTTGTCAGGATGTTTGTCTCCGATATGGGAAATAGTATACTTAATACCGATTTGCCCTTGCGCCACGACTTAGGGCACTTCAAAGATATTCGTATCGAAGTGGCTGCTTCGCTTATCGGATAAGATGAGGGGCTGAAACTTCGCTGGGATATTGTACTTTTATGTGTGGTCTTAATTCTGCTTGGAGGTAAAATTCCTTGCAGGTGATTATGAGAAATACTCAACTTCACCGCAAACTCAGAAACGTGTGCGTCTTGCAAATTTCACAATTCTGTTTCAATTTCCGTGAAATTTGCATTTTTTCAAAGGGCGAGCATTTTAGGAAAACGAGCGGGCTTCAGGCAAAAAAACTGATACTCATGTACCTGTAGGTCCACGCTGTCCCACAATGCAATACCTTCCTCCCAACCGGCACCCTATCCCCTTCATGACGGAGCAGGCCAAAGCGCGGTGAATATGAGTTCAAGTATTAGACTGCAGCGTAGGGATCTTTCCTGCTATTAGCGACCTGCAAGTTTAGTGCAAAAACGCATAATCGCACCGCAAGCCTGGTGCGTTTCAGCCTGGGTTTTAATTACTCGCATAACTATGCTATTTGCCCGCGAGAATTCGTACTTCATCAGCTGAAGCACTCACCATTCAGTCGCACCCGCTTCTGTTGGCTCTAAGGAGGAGCGTTTATCAGCGGCATTGCCACCTCTTGTTCGGCAGTCAGTGACTTCCTGTCCGAAGAATTACTTTGGGAATCAAACTATAGCACATTCAAGAAATTATAACTGACTTCCGACGTCTCAATGAATCAAAACATAAGGTGCGATTGACTTGCGTCAGCGACAATTGAGTCAGGATCCGAGAGGAGGAAGGAAGTGATTGCAGTTCAGTAAATTATCGTACCACAGCTCTGATAAGTAATTTTTAGAGATATTTGACAAAGGAATGAATGATGACCTCTTGCACTCGAGCCAAACCAATTAGCAGAGTGATGTCGTTTTGAAAAATTTGCAGGCCGAAGTTGTACTGATCAGTGGCCATCAGCGGCTGGTCGATCCGATTGTACGTCTGCATGATGATGATATGATATATAAAGATTGATTCATGATTTAAAACAAATGCTGCCTGCACTGTGGCTGCCGATGTAGTTATAATTTCTACTTTTCATGTGCTTGAAAAATGATTTAAAAACAATTCGAAATAACCTACTTTAGCTAAATAACCATAAGTTTCAACCACTTTCTGGTTATTCAACGACGAATGGAATTGCTTCAATGCATCGCTGAACATCCCGAGACGGTAGTAACATTTGCCAACTTGATTCTTCCAGTACCAGTCAATATAATCGGCTTTTTTTGTTGCTATCGCTGCGATCTAGAGAAATCAGTTGTACACCCAGCAGGTTTATTTAGCTATATATTTATTCAGTATTCTGTCAATAGCTTTTATTATCGTGTTAATTTTAGCGGCAGTGAATAAATTGTCCTGCCGATTTTGGCAGGTGTTGCTGCTTTCACTTTCAAAACAAGCGAAAGGGTGCTCCAAATTTGAAGCTTTTTCAACCAGAATGGCTATCTTTAGTAAAAACGATACCCCCTGTTGTTATTTTCTCTTATTGTCTTTGCTACTGTACAAACATTCAAATGAGTGTCTGAAACATGTCGCTGCGACCACGATGAGAAAGTAAAATCCGATAGACAGGACACACTGCTTACCTTACGGGCAGCCGATGGACGTCGTGTATCAGTGAGTGGTGCTTGCAAAAAAGTACGAAACAGGTGATTGGTATTAGACAGAGATATACAGTTCAGGCTTCAATAGGCTGACGTAGATGCGCCTGACGAGTGCGAACATCCTGGTAACATCATTAACATGGGATCTCGCACTGATTTGTCCGGGCGTCTTTGCATTCAACATATTATTTGTTATGTGTCAAAAATGTTTACATGGTGCGCTACTTTAATATCGCCTTCACGATAAAAAACGTATTCAAAGATCGTCCGATTCACTTGCGGATCAGTTGCGTATTTATCAACATTCAGTCGTGACAAATTTACAAACGGGCCATCTGGCTGTGAAATCATCGATGCCTGGAAAGCATTAGCGTGGTTAAAAGTGTTGCCCAAAAATCATCCTGCCGTTTTTTTTTTTCACAAAGTGAACACTATACTGTTTGAATGATCTGATAGCATATTAACATTCTTGTGAATCAATTATGCAATCACGCAAAGCAAACTGCGCGTCTGAGCCCCGTTGAGGCATGAAGTTTATCGGAACCGAGGAACATGATAAAGTAATTTTGCTGGATATGCGTAACCTGAAAAACTTTGCAGATCTCGAATTTATTAATAGTAAGGATCTCGTTGGAAGGCTTGTTAGTTTTGTTCGTTGCAAGTCACTATTCTTCCATCCCTAAAGTAGCGCTTGTACGCAGTGGATCCCCCGTACTAAACGAGCCGTTGGAAATTTTGTCAAAATCATTTACTGACATGAAAGAGTTGTAAAAACTAATGCTAGCGAGGGAAATTTAGAAATCATTCGAAGCTTTTACTAACAGTGCCAAGTCGAACAAATCTGGCGGAACTAGATGAAGTTGCTCTAGCAGTTCTCGAAGTCCTTGAGGTTCGCAGTGTCTGTTCCATGGTGCCAGGCCGAGCGTGAGTTTCTGGACGTACTACACCACTCAGAGGTCGTCCAGCGCTTGACATCGGTCTATAAAAATATTTTGACTGCGTTGCGCATCTCCTATTTTGCGAAGAAGTCTGTCGTCAGTGTCAGGAGATTAATTTAGCTTGTGGCGGCGCGCAATTCCTTACGGTTAATCGTAGTGTAAGTGGCTGTGTTTGCAAAAACAGGAGACTGTTGTACAGCTAGATTGTCTTTTGCACTTTTTTCGAAATTTTGAAATTGTAGCTTTTGTTCTGATTTATGCTTCAACTCATTGGTCAGAAAGCGATGAAATTCAAACACAGAATTCAGGCAATTGATTTTGGCGAATTAAAACTTTAGAATCTGAATCTTGTGGTTGTTTATCAGTTGCAATTTATCTCGATTGCCTGATTTTAAACCTGCGATTAAACCTACCCTTCTGGCCCTAAACAACTGTAAAAGACATGGGTTTTGACGCTCTTTCGAGAAAAACTAAACCTAAGAATATTTAAAAATGGATTAAAACCAATAAAGAAAGGAACATATTATAAAACACATTATAACGAAAGACTTGTAGAAGCATTTGGTGGCAAATGCTTCGGCCTTATATCCTGGTGAAAGTCAAAACACAGAGCAAAGTGTTTAGAAAATATCTTCTCTAGGATCTAGGATCTCGTTCCCAGATCGGAAAAATAGAAAGATTGCGCTAACTACTAACATAGAGCGTAACTTTCGCGCT